GACAAAAAAACATGCCAGTCCACAACACGCCAGTGCGCCATAGCCGCCCGTCAAGTCAAGCTCCCGACCAACGAATGTCCCCACCTCGAACTCTACACGTCACCACTTTGCACCAGCAAACAGCCAACCATGCCTCCACTACAGACACAACATACCACGCGCCATTGCCGAAATACAGCAACCCAGAAAAACTGGGCCCCCACGCCACACACAAAAAGCACTTATTTAGCTTCCCTTTCACCCCACACCATCGCAAAGACGCCCACTTCAACATCCCCCTTCTTCTTCCCCCCCCCCCACATCGAACTTCACCATGGCCCCACACAACCCTACCCACCCTCTAAAACATCACCACACCGCCCCATACACAACTCCCTTTGTCGCCCCACGTCCTCACGCCCGCCCACACCCATCCCTCCAAAAAATACTCTCCTACTTAATCTCGCTCCGCCTCGTTGGGGATACTCAATACTGACATAGTTTCTTTCAATCCCACGCAACAAGCTGGAGCGTCACCCCGCCTACGTCTTTCTCTCACCGCTACTGTTAACTCCTCTGCTCCATCACCACCTATCTTCTCTCTTGTATGAACTGCAGAGCATTCAAGCGGGCCTTCACCCGCCCTAGCCTGCTCATGGTGAAAGAAGCTGCTACCAACCCGCTATCGCCATAGCACTCACACGGTGCACGATATAGCCGGTTCTGAGCGTTCGGCAGAAGGTGCACTCCTTCATCTGGAACACCCTTGGGACCGCTTGCAGCTGCAGTGAGGTACCAGCGATGGCGGAAGTCACGGATGCTATCCCCAATGCATACATCTCGGAGCATGTGGTGAGTATAGCCCCTGTGCTCTACCTCCCCATACCCATACACTACCTCCATCTTTTGGCTTTCTAGGAGCTAGAGGCATTTCACCCTCTGATGAGCCGTGACTGGCGCAAGCGGCGAAAAGCGCTTTAGGGGATGCGCCACCCCTCCTCTTTTGGCTACTATGCCAATACTGATGCCCTTGCCATCATCGCTCCCCTCTCCTTCTTCCTTGCTTTTTCTTCTTTCTCCTTCCTTTTTTCTTTTCCCTTTTTAAAAAAAAACGTTATTCTAAAGTTGCCTACATAGTCTGTTGATATTTGGTGTTCCGAGTTACTATTGGTCGTTGGAATAATTTTGATTCTACACATGGTAAGTGGATATGCCAGAGATCCCCGTGTAACGAGTTTCTATGTTTCTTTGTTTTATATATACACACACACGCGCGCGCACACACGCATATAGAGACACACACACATACACTGACACACACACACACACAAACTCGCACACACACACACACACACACACACACACACACACACACACACACACACACACACACACACACACACACACACACACACACACACACACANACACACACACACACACACACACACACACACACACACACACACACACACACACACACACACACACACAATCAATCAATCAATCAATCAATCAATCTATCTATCTATCTATCAACTAATCACAGTGATTGTCTCAATGAACCAATTAATCAATGAACCAATTAATCAATCAGTCAATCAATCAATCAATCAATCAATCAATCAATCAATCAATCAATCAATCAATCAATCAGTGTGTGTGTCTAGCAAAAACGGCAAGAAAAGGAAAAAGAAAAGAAAATGACTTTGGTTGTTCTTTTTCGTTATTATCTTTTTTTTTTTTCCCTTTCATATTTGCATATGGCATTGTAGGTAAAAAGAAAGAATCAAAGAAACATGAGCACCATGATTATCCCACCTGCAGTTAGAAAAAAATGGAAAAAAAGGTTGCTTTTTTTTTAATATGTTTCTTTTGATTTTAATACTCTTTTTTTTTGTTTTCTATTTTTTAAAAATAGCAAAAAACATCAAAACAAAAAACAAAAAATATGGGGATGTACGGTTTTGGAAACCCTACAACCCCATTTTGTTTTTTTATTTTTGGGCCTATTATCCTAGGAATTAAAAATGTTGGGGTTTTCCGATCGCACTCGGGCGTGGCCGCGTGGGCGGTCGGGATCCCGACTGCGGTCGGTAAAATGGCTCGCGGTCATGACCACGGGTGAATCGGGGTGATGCATAGCCGACATGTGTCCTTCGTTCATGAACGTCACCTAAGGCGTTGGCATGTCCCAGTTCACCGGCGACCCCACGACACATGCATCCCGCGTCCTTGCAAGAATTCGGAGACCGCTAAAAAAAAACCATTAACCTCATGAGCGCCCCCTCCCCCCCTTTTATCCCGCAAAACGAACATCGTAGATCCAACCGTCCATCTCGTCGCCCTTCAAAGCACCACCCCCTTCCCCACAATCGTTTTCCCCACCCTCAACCCCTCCCGTTGCCGCTCCGCGTCATCTCTACCGCAACCGTCCACCACGGCCACCCGCGGAATCATGGTGATAGTGGTGACGTTACCATCTCCACCAAGCGCCTGTGAGGCAAGTAGCGCTCCCCCCTCTCCCACCTCAGATTGTTAACATCCTTCCACAACTGTGCGATGCTGACACACATCGTGGGAACCGTTGGCAAACGTGGCATAGGCGAAGCACCCTCATGCTTGGATGTTGTCCAAACGTCGCTCCTCCACATGCAATAGTGGTGGGAGGTGGTGCTTCCTCCATGTCAGGTTCATTGGCGTTTTCGACGTTGATGACGGGCTCTCCTCGTGCTCGCGCAGGCTCAACCACTCCTGTCGCGTGACCACGTGCACGTGTCGTCGCAGGCGGCGGCAATGACTGTTGTCTTGTCGTGATCGTGGCAGGGACGTGTTGCCTTCGCCCTACTAAGTGAAGAACGACGTCCATCGCCTGCTCGGGTTCGTCTTCCGTTATGAAGATGTCGTGGTCGTTGTCCTAGATCGCCTCCCCCACCCATCGCCGACATTGCTAGCAGGCTCAGCAACAGTGCCTGACATGGTGTCATGACGCCCCCTTTTCACCTTCGGCGCGTAGCGGCGCTGCCCATCAAACCCGCTTGTCTCTTCACGGATGTTACCCCGTTTCCTACCCCATCCACCGCCGCCATTACCGCCTGCCGTTGACATGATATATTTCAATGGTGCTTTCCACCCCGTTAACGCTCGATACACACAGCGACGCGAGAACTATGGCGACGATCTTGGGCGAGGTGGTGCGGCGCAACAACAAGAGCAGGCACTGGTAATGTGAGCGGAAAATATCGGTGATGACGTGTCGTAATGCAATGCACGAGGGGCCCAGTAATGGCGAGAAGTGAGCATACGTTGGAGTACCCCACGGACCATAATTTATCCTCCCCACAGAGACTTGATACGGCCAGAGAAGGCCTACTATAAGCCGACAGGTGTCCTTCGTTCATGAACGTCACCCCAGGCGTTGGCATGTCCTAGCGGCGCCCCCACAACACATGCATCCCGCTGTCCTCTTAAGAATTTGGAGCCCGCTGAAAAAAACCATGAACCACACAACTCATGAGTGCCCCCTCCCCCCATTTTATCCCGCAAAACAAACATCGTCGATCCAACTCTCCATCTCCTCGCCCCTCAAAGCACCACCCCTTTCCCCCTTTGATCCGCTTTGATCCGCTATGCAGATGGCGATGGTGGAGGACTACGATGGCAACGAGGCATTGGCCCTCTGGTGCGCTCCTGGCAAATGAGGGGGGGGACGACTCGTATGATCTACTCCATGTCTGTGTACATCTCACGTTCAAACTCCTTGGTTATGCCGTCGACGTACAAGTCCCTGATGTCCTACAACAAGTCGTATTCCCCCAAGGGCTCGCTCGATATGTGGTTGCCAACTTTACCCACAAAAACTACCACCCATTTCAACATGTCTCGTTTCATGCCCTGCTTCGCACACAGACGTATCGCGTGGACATCACCCCAATGCTCACGGATATATACTGAATCTGATATGTATCAACGCCATTGTAGAACTCCGCCTCGCAATAAAGACCGTAAGGGTCAGTGTTCCTCTTACAGATCCAGTCCATGCCCACCACTTTCCTTACATACACCATCCCCTTGAAGATGTTCACAACGGCGGAATCCATTTCCCGACACGTGGCAACAAACAAAATCGACGAAGGTGGCGGTACTCCAGGCTATGGCCACATTCGTTTTCGCGCGGTCGTTTATGTCCGTGTGTGCGCTTTTGTGTGCACTTGTGTGCGTGCAGTGGCTTATGTGCGCATCATTCTGGTAGTCTGTGCTAATATGTCGATGTGTACTCGTGCTCTCTCCGCGTAGGATTTCGGATCCGGAGCACAAAATTTGTGCATGACCGTTCCACGAGTAGATATTTTCGGTCTTCAATCTGTCATGACGTTTCTGGACGGCATCATCCCACTGCGATGGCGCACCTTTGTACTCTTAACAAATCTGAACACAAGGAAAAAAGAAAGAAAGTGGCACACATCCACCAACGTTGCCACCGACAAAACTGACAAAGGCACCGCCCATGAACGATTGTTGTGTTCACGATGACGATCATTCGTGTATGGCGGCAGCAATCTCCGGCAACACCCGACACATCATCTTCTAGGCTTCATCCGAGGCCTCGTAATGCGCCTTCTACACCACAACCTCCTGCTCCAGAATGGCACACTGCCGAGTGAGGATGCTGCACTGCCACTTGCTCGACGAGTTGATGGTGGATGACATGAGCCCGCCATGGCGGTCCATGAACCCTGCGATCACCTCGAATGTGTGTTGACGAGCGTTCTTCCTTTTTCCGCTCCCCGCACCGCCACCGACGTTGTGATCGGAATCTCTGGCGGACAACTGATCGTCTGGGAAGGCATCACCGCCACCTTCACTACCGATGGACTCCTCTGCCCCTACTCCTCGCCTCGGCAGCTGCACACCTTCTGGAGACTTTGAGCCGGTGTCCGCTAAGTTCGGCGGGAAAATGGTGTGCTTCCCAATCATGCTCACATGAATGTCCTTGTACAAACGTCAATCCATCTAGTCGTCTCACTTCCACTCCTTCGTCTGCATGCGGCCATAATTATGACCCAACCTAACAATGTGCACATCTTGGTGCCGTTTGCATCACACGAAAAAGACCTGCTCCTCCGTTGTCCAATACATTGTTGTTTTGCCGCCATCCTCGAAAGCGGTGGTTTTGCTGTCATAACCACAACCCTGACCACGGCCACCCACTTTCACGTGGCTCGTTCCTCTCCCACCTGTCTTTCCCACCGGTCTTATGTTGATGTCATCTTCATCCTCCGTAGCTTCAACGTCATCCATGTCGCAGTCAGCAATGTCATCACCACATGCCACATCTTCACAACCGCCGTTGCTGTTGGCCCTGGTGATGTTCTCCACAATGCCTCGCTGTGACACGGTTGGCATTGACGTGTTGTCCTCCCTCGGATTACAACGCACCTCCCGTGCATTGGAATGTGAGAACTGCCGACGATCAGTAGGATTGGCAACAGGAGCGGCCGCAACTCTGGTGTCGAGAGGACAACCTTCACCGCAGACTTGCAAATTCGTGGCAAGCCTTCCCTGCCGCCAGTTAGTGGATGACAACTCGCCAGCGCCACTCGCACGATGACTGCATGCAAGTGGAGACTCCTCGGTGTGCACATTAAAGACCGATGAAGCCCGCTCGGCGACGCTGCGGGGTTGACGATGAAAGTGTGAGTGACGGGCGTCGTATTGCCCGACGACAAGCAAAACCTCAGATCGACGTCCCGTGGTCAATATCTGCGTCCAGTTCTGAAGTCGACCCACTGCCCAAAGGTAAAGTCGGCAGCTCCTTCTCCTCGCATTCATCGTTCGTCGGAAGCAAGGGCTGCTCGTGCGGCGGCAGATGGCTAAACAAGGATGGGTCATACTGCCAGCGAGAGACCCCCCCAGCTGAGGCTGAGACGTTGGTGCTCCCCCCCCCTCACAAATAGTTGAATTTGCCATTTCCCATTCAACAGACCTCCCTCTTCTCGTTAAGCAGCGCTTGCAGTGTTGTTTTGGCAGGCGAACGACGAAACAGACGTGGTGGAAGATGACAAACAAGAAAACGACCACAAGGAAGGCTAGGAGCGGCAATCGCAGATACACGTCGGCCACCAATCATAGCATATTCAACATGACGGTATGTGGACAACACACTTGAGGACGGTAGTGCTCTGCCATGTACAGAACAGTCCGTGACGGACGCCTGCAGAAGTACTTCAAATTCCCACCATTAGCCGCTCTCCAGTCATTGTGTATCGTTTATGCAGATGGCCACACCGATCGGACACCTGGCGCTCCAGTGTCTACTTCTCAATGGACGGCCACGGGTGACGGGTGTGGACGCCACCAGTCGCACGCTGTCCCGGCTCCACCCCACCAACCACCGGCCCGCTCCAATGGCTACCGGTTCTGGCCATTGTCGTGGCCTACTCATTGAAGGGCTGCAATGTCCCCACACCGTACCCAAGGACAACTTCTGCACCGCGGAATTGGAGACATCAATGCACAGCACGCGACGGCGAGGCTCCACATAATGCAGTAGTCTGAAAAATAAGCTTCTCTGGAGGAGCTTTATTTTTCAGGAACGTTTGCCTCGGGATTCTTTAAAGATTTAGGACTAGTCCTAAAGCCGTTTTCCCTTTTTTTTCCAGGAAGTAACTTTTAGGAATGCATGTAACAGGCACCACATTCCTAAAAACTGGCATTTTTAGGAGTGTCTAACGAGACCCTTACCCTATAACCAATGACCGCAGAAACACATTGTCCGTTGAAGAAAAAAATAAAATAAGGGTAAGCGTCAAAGACAGCGCGTTCGTGGTAGTTTCACAACAAAAATAGTGGCAGGGCCCAAGTTTGATTGCAAAAGCACATCTTTAGCAGCAGCTTTACAGGTCCCACCAGTTTTTCAACAAAAAATATTTGCGAGCGTGTTCCCACTTTCGTTGCAAAAATACGTCTTTCTTTTGGACTTCGACATATTTTTCTGCAATCACCCCATGATTATCTATCCTATCCCTTGAGCAGCACTGGCCGAGGGGGGAAGGTCCTTGACGCTCTGCGCACCGTTGTTGGGTTGAAGTTTTGGTGAGGTGCGGTGCATGAAGGCGATCGAGGGCGGGGGAAAGTGCAGAGGGGCGCGCGTACCAAAACGTTCACAGCGCACCATAAAACGAGCGAGCACGCCCCGGGGGCAGGGCACACGGCGGGCGTCGATGTGGAAGAACATCTCGGAGGAGAGACCCTCCGATATGTGAAGCTGCTGTTTTTGTTTGTTTTTTTTTCGTTTTCGTGTGTTGTTTTTTTGTGGGCAGCGTTCGTTTGTATTTTTTTGTACATTTTCGCGCGTCGTTTTGTGTTCCCTTCTTTTTTTTACTTTTCACGCGTCGTTTTTTACTTTTTCTTTTTCCCTGGCAGCTGTCGTTTTGTGCACCCATTTTCGCTTTCGTGCTTTCGTTTTTTGCGTGTTGTTTTGTGGTCACCTTTCCCTTTTCTTCTTCACCTTTTTTGTGCGCGTTGTTTTTTTTTTTTTTTCTTTTTTTTTTTTTTACCTTTTGGGGGTTTGGTTGGTTTTCCCSCCATAAAGGGTAGCCCGCCGACCTGCGCCCATGCATGCCCGCCCACACCCACCCACACGCACGCACGCTGGACAGCACGCGCACCAGCCGACCCACACCCACCCAGGCACCCACACCCACCCAGGCACCCACACCCATGTATCTTTTTATCGTCAATTTGGCTTTTTTTTTGTCGTTGGCTGGATTTTATTCATTTTATCCGAAAATTATCATCAATTTGGCTTTTTTTTTGTCGTTGGCACCCACCCCGTGGTTTTTTATGCGGGCATAGCCCCCAGCACTGGCACTAAGCTAGTATACATTACATGGTGCACTACCGTCTTCCCCCGGAACACAACCCAGCCTCATTTTGGCTGTATCTGGCCGGAAATATAGCTTGTATACATTCATTTTTAGGGTGCGTTGTGTTCGGGGGATGACCGTAGGCGACATTGCCGGCTTTGTGAGGCTTTGTGATATTTTCCATTTTTTTCCTTTTCGACTTCTAGGGTGCGTTGTGTTCGGGGGATTTATTTACGTGTCACCCTTGCACAGGGTTCCCGCCCCACATCGTTTTCTTGTGACTTCTTCGCGTCTTTTTGAAAACATATAGCTAAAGAAAAAAAAACAAAAAACATGTAGCAGCTGCAGTCTCCCCACCAACAGGTTTCTGAATTTTACCCGGGGATGGTCAGCTCAAAGACGGCATATATGGGGACGAAGCGGGGGGCGGCGCCGAAGCGCTCAAGCCCCGTGACGCGAGCGGTATAGAATTAGGGTTTCTTCCATAGCCGTGCGGAGCTTAGCCACCATGCCCCGGGGCGCACAGCATGGGGGAGGGGGGTCTTGCAGCTGTCGGGCTCCACAGGAGAGCTTGAGCAAAAGAGACATGAGCTTGTCCAGGGCGTTGAGGAGGGAGTGAGTGGCCCCTCTAAGGAGGGGAGGCAAATAGCATGGGTGAGTCTTCACAGAGGAGCTGCGGAGCACAACGAGAGACAGATGGCAGCTTTCAAGGCGCGCAACGAAACGAGAAAGTGATGGCGCCTGTTTACACAACCTTTCGAACATTCTGAACCGAAGAATGCTGTCAGGCGCAGCATCCTTCCGATGGAGTTAGTCACGGCTGGCAAGCTGTGCAGTCCTGTAAGGGTGGTATGGACCGTAGTCCTTCACCTGTTAAGGCAGCAGTCAAGGCGCGGTGCAGAACGGGCAGAGATATGGCACCTTAACTGAAGAACGCTGAAGTCAGCGTACTTCCTATGGAAGCTTTCAGAAGAAAAGGAAGCACAGTCCAGGGA